GACTCCTTGAATCGTTTGTACCGTCTTTATTTTTAAATATTCTCTAATAAAATTTAAATCTGTTCTAAAGTGATTTGTAACCCAACACCAGCCAAAATTGTTCACTTGGGCAGCATAGCTCTGTCTGCTGGATACCTAGGGAGAGTAGGTATGTTCATGTAGTCTGGTCCTGACACCTTTCCACCCACCTCTGGCTCATCACTAAGTGTCAGGGGAGAGTTCATTCAGACCTTGCTTATAAAGAATAATTTGAAATTAGGTAGGCAAATACAGCCAAAACAAATGCACTGATATAGTGAGAAATAACAGCTATGTGAAGAAGCTAGTCTTTGCTCATACTTTTCAAACCCATTATGCTTTCTCAGGTACAAGTATTTTCTCATATACTTAGGGCCCTACCAAATTCACAGCCATGAAATCTGGTCTCTGCCTGTGAAATCTAGTGTTTGGTGTGCTTTTACCTTATACTATTACAGATTTCATATTTGTATGAAATTGGGGGTCTTGTCCCAAAAGGGAGTTGCAGGGTGGGTTGGGTCACAAGGTTATTTAGGAGGGTCACGGTATTGCCATCTTTACTCCTGCACTGCTCTTAGGGCTGGGCGACCGCAGAGCAGCAGCTGGTGGCCATGCGGCCAGCTCTGAAGGCAGCCTCCCACCAGCAGCAGTGCAGAAGTAAGGGTAGCAGTACCACAACTCCAGTACAGTAGCCTTGTGACACCCGCCCCACACACTCCTTTTTGGGTCAGGACTTACAATTACAACACTGTGAAATTTCAGATTTAAATAGCTGAAGTCATGAAATTTACAACTTTTTAAATCCTGTGACCATGAAATAGACCAAAATGGACTGAATTTGGTAGGGCCCTGCATATACTGTATATGCTTTTAAAATGTGTATTAATGTTTCAATTTCAATTCAAATTTCCAATTGACTAAATTGGCAACACATAACTGGGGGGTGTTGGGGAAGTTCGGGGTGGGGGGATGGGGGAAAATCCCTGTCTGTATGGGAAGTGTTTCCAGTTCACCTACATGAGAAATGCCATGTAGTCTTGGCAATTCTGTAATAGCAGGTAAATTGTCATTCGGTTTGCTCAACATTTATCAGCTTCAGGCAGTCATCTAACTCATTTCACTTAAGGATCACATACAAAGCCCTCAAAGCATTAGTGGTGATAGCCAGGATAAAAGGTAAGAGGGCTATGGCTCATGCTCCCAGAAAGACAAGCAAGGGGGTCAGGGAGATATGCCCGCTGCCTGGTAATCAGGTACAGCATGAAGCTAGATTTATTCTTTCTTCTACCATAGCAGAAGACTGCTGGTAGCAGAAGACAGCCCAAAGCCCCACAGACTACAGTAATCTGGACCTATGGGCAGTGGACAAGTTTTGTAGAATCTGCAGCACTTGAGATAGGCTGCAGCAGCTCCATTTAAATTAAAATACTGAGGTTTATAATTAAACATGAAATTGAATACACTCAGAAAAGAATCTCGTGTTTTACACTGTCCCATTTTCCAATATGGGGCAGTTTTTTGTACTGACAATTGCTAACTGCAGTGCAAAAGCTGGAGGTTGTGGGAAGAGGGAGGTAGCTAAAGCTATTGGCACCTAGGAGGCAGTTTGGGATTGTAGGATAAGCAGGTTTACTGACTGTTTCTAACATGATCAACAGTGAAGCAGAAAGCTACGTTGATATTTAAATTGTCACCTTTTGGTTTCAGCATTAGTGCCCCATTGAGATAAATGGGGCAGTTCACACCTCTTAGCACTATTGTTTCAGGCTGCTGGCAGACTCAGGAACACTACCCACTCAGTTTACAATCAGGTTGTGTTTTCACATTTATCTGTAGAACCATTAAGTCAAGATTTTTTTAAAATCTAAGATTCTGCAGCAAAATTCTACAATGATTTTCATAAAATACACACAATCCTGCCTACAGTCTAATTTGACTTGACCCAAGGGGCAAGAGTGTTACTACTTTCCCCCAGGAGACTGTTCTACTTTCTAATCCTATATAGAATGGGGAAAGAGAAAAATCTCTAATTTCTATGACTCTGGTGATGGAACCCTCCATTTCTCACCACACTAGAGTCAAGATATTACCAAATAATGGACAGAGACAGTTTTCAGAAATAACATTTTTTGCTTAGTGTTACAATCAGTTTACAGCTCATAATGAAATACTGTTAGAAATATTCTATATTCATACATTTCTAGCAAAATATACTTTTATAAACCATAAGGCACCTTTTAGACTTTGTAAAGCAACACACTGCTCATGATAAAATTCCACAAGAGGGCTAAATTAAAGCCCCTTAATCCTTTAGTGTTCAATACAAGATCACCAATGCTCTTGTCAGAAAAACAAAACAATCAGAGAGGTTTCCAAGATGGAGTTATTCCTGTATTAGAGTGCACCCTGAAGAAGTCTATTTGAAGTATCTTGAAACTATTCAAGCAGAAGAAGAAAAAAAAATCTCCCTGGTGTGAATAAAATGCATTAAAAACAGTTCTTTGAACTGGGTAACAAAGATGCATTGTGGGGATTAAATTTCATTACTCAGTGGATTAAAACCTTTCCATTCATTACTGCCAACAGGAGTAAGGAACAAAAAGAGGCCAATTCCTCCCCATACAATTCAATCTAAGATTTTAAAAGCAGACAGTGAGCAGGACAGAAGTCCATGAGAAATTGAATTTGGCCACTGCAAAACTCATTCAGATATTCGTTATTGACTTCTGAAAGTCTAGCCTCTTACTGAACGGAGAGATACATAAAAGAATTGGCAACTGTATAAACTGCTTCGCATCAAGTAGATTTAAAACCATGATCCCACTGTTCACATTAACTACCTGCACTCAGAAACTCACCATCAGCTCTCCTTGGCAAAGAGATGGAAGTACCTGTCAATTTCATTAACTCTTTAAAAGATGTGTATTAAATATTTAGCTACAGAATTATATCTAATCACTGCAGTTTTCCTTTAAATACAGTTTAAGGTACGTGAATACATTATCTGAACAATGCAAAGGATTGCATGAACAAGAGTGAATGCAAAATTAATAAATATACAACAGCCTTCAACACCAACTTGTCTCCCACACAACATGCTCAAAGTAGCTTGCCTTCCACTTCCACCTACCAGCTTCTCTTTTCATACTGGGATGGGGGGTAAGGAAGAATAGTGCTCTGCAATGTTCCTTACTCTGTATTTCAGCTGAAGGAAAGTAGTAAGCTTTTTCAAGGCACAAGTTGCTGAAACCATGGAATAAGATTCTCACACAGAGATTTTGCTTAACGCCTAATGTAGGCAATGACAGCCTTAGTGCGTGGCCTCCAATATGCAAAGTTATATTGTAAAAAGTGAAAAGAAGCTATCCTCAATAAGAGGACACAACAGAAAGATCAAGTGAGAGGCACTATGGAATTTACACAAGTTTAGGTGCACATTTGCTCCACTGGGGCCAGATGAGTTTAAAGTACAGTGGAGGGCAATGCACTTCGTCCTTTAGACAGGGGCATATGGCTGTATATCTGTACTGGTGGCAAGGCTCAGTGAGATGCTTTGCATGTATTCTCAATCAACATGAGAACACCGATGCACCAGTTGCAAAGAGGAGATAAGGATGAGTCAGAAGGAGACACTAACAGCAGCCTAGTATAAAAAGGGAGATAAATATCAAACCGGCTCAATTCTAGGGCTGTAATAAACTAACATCTACAGTAGATGAAGACCCTAAGTCTGGAACAAAGGAAGACAGTACTCAGATCTTCAAAAAATCCATCCCCAACAAAAAGAAATTTAATTTTTTGGGGGAGTATGTAAATATGTAAGCGGAAATCAAGGGAGAGAGCAGAGTGTTGAAACATGATACATGATAAATACAGCATATACCCAGAATAGCACAGTTACATTCTCGCTGATTTACCGTAGTGTAATATCCCAGAACAAGAACAGTCTTCTTTGCTTCATATGGTGCTAAGCCAATCACAGTAGCGAAGTGTCATGCTATCAAAAACCCCTTTAGACAGGTTTCCCAGACATGGCAGGTCTGCTCTCCCCGATCCCCTTTACACAGATCTTTATGGTAGTTTAGTGATAACTCTAGCCCCACAACATCCCCATGTAGGCAAGGCATTGAGTTAGTTCTTCTAAGCAGCATCATACCAAGCAATTCTAGATTTGCTCAGATGTGCTGCTGCTTACAGGACTGTTTCTAATGAGCCCCTCAGGGAAGAGCCTCCGGCTCTGCATTTCCACTATTGCTTTAGTGACATGTTTTTCTTCTAGTCCACCACTCCCCTTTATCCAAGAAGAACTTTCTGCATCCTGTGTGCAGCAACAATGGCTTCATCCTCTGAGTCAGACTCGCTTTGGGAAGTGGAGCTCTGAGAGGCGGAGCTGCAGGGGGAGGAGCATTCTGGGGAGCACAGATAGTGCATCAGCGGCAGGCGGTACTTCCCACAGAAGTCAACAAACTTGATTTGTCGGACACAGCTGTCGAAGTAGACACCTGCAAGGGAAAGGAAAGCAAGGCAGTTTTTAGAACAATGACTCAATGGTTTGCTGTGAAACCTGCATGCTCCACAGAAATGAGCAAGCCAGCCATGATTTCTAATGCACCTGCCTCATCTTAGGGATGAATTCAAACAGCAAATGTTGGGGAAATAAGAAATTTTTGGTGGGGAGGAGCGTATCTGTGTGCTGAAGTGGAAACTGAAAGGATCAGTTTATGAGCAGCTTCTAGTAACACATTTATCAGATTTTTTCAGAGAAAGTAGCAGTTTGCCAGGTACCTGCATCCCATGCATTTTATACAGTAGCCCCACTGCCTAATTTTGCCAACGATTTTCTCACCCTAGGATAGTGTTTGCTAAGTAGTTGCTAAAGTGGCTGGAAGTGGGGCACCAAAAGTCAGGACATCTGTGTTCTATTCCCAGCTCTGCCACTGATTCATTGTGTGGCCTTGCAACTTAAATTCTTAGTTTTCCCACCTGTAAAATGGAGATAATAGTTAGCAGTTACCTCCCAGGGGTTTGAGAGAATTCATGTTTCTAAAGCACTTGATACATCCAGGTGAAAGAGTTACAGAGGGCAAAGTACTATTTGAAGAGAGAAACAATGGCCAATTCATTCCACAGAAAGGAAATTTCTCTAAGAATTAAGAGGGAACGTCATGCTGGGGATTGTCAAACATGTCTTTAAATGTTAAATCCATTTACCCGCTGTATTTTCCAGTCTACCAGGCTCCTTCTAACAGTTATCAATAGTGTGTGTATATAAATAAAAGCTCTCTCCCTCATAACCCCATTTTCTCTTCTGCTTGAGTGAAGTTACCATGATGAACTTGGATGCTATTTTCCACGAGAACAGAACAGAACGATGCCATAACACACAGTTATGTTCTCCTACTGCAGAGAGATGATTCTTATTCAGATGCAGGCATTTTCAGAAATGTTTTTAGAGGTGTTTGTGGGTTTTTGTTTTAATTGTAGCTGCCTTTGAGTTAACTATGCCTCTGCACATTTGTAGCAGCACACTGCTAGTTCACGATAAAGTGAAACCAATCCATCTATTTTCATTGTCCAAGCTGTGTGAAATGCAAGGAAACAAATTCCTCTCCCACTCAACGCAACCCAATCTCTGGCCTCTCCATCCTCCATCCACTCCCTGTTTTGAAGCTATCATATTAAGTGGTAAGAAGCGGACAGAACCATGACCAAAGAAGTGGTAGTTAAGGAACAGACTAAGAAATAGACCATTTGAATTAGAATAAATCCCTTGCAAAAAAAGCATTACTTGGAACTCCCCAGTCTTGTACAATGCCTGTGAAATCCCTTGCATACAGGTTGCATGTGACAGTTGTGCTGAACACTATGGGATAGGTGCTTCAGGAATCCCAGAACATGATGGTACAGCCGCATAGTTCTAAAAGTGCATTTTGTGTACCAACTAAAACAGTTCTATCAAAAACAGTGCTCCTGTGCAGAGGTTGCAAACCAGTGCTAAGATTTTTAGCAATGACCCTGCAGGGACTTTCTTGCTTAGGGTAGAGACAGCCCAAGTTAAGGTCTGGTCTACACTGGGGGGGGAGTGGGGTTAGATCTAAGATACGAAACTTCAACTACGAGAACAGCATAGCTGAAGTCGACGTATCTTAGATCGATTTACCTCGGGTCCTCAAGGCATGGGGTCTAGACAAGACGCGATAAATCGATCCCCGATAGATCGATTACTACCCACCAACCCTTAGATGCAGTGACACAGTCCCTTGAGGAAGAGGATAAGACAACACACCTGGGGCTACTGAAATGCTCACAGCAGGAACTGACTGGTGTGACAACACATGCAATTAAGCTACTAAAAGGAGAGCTAGATTAGAAAGAAATAGATGAGCCGTCAGGTGAGAACAGGAAGCAGAGAGCAGCTAACTTACCTCCACACTTAGGATTGGGGCAGTTGCTGGCCAGGCTCAAATATCTGACAAGATTCCCTGGGAGATCACTGGGAGCATAGGGAATGTTGCGGGTTTTCATGGTGCGTCCAGCTAGTTCCAGGAGACTTGGGGGATTGTAAGTCAGATCACGGACAAAGCGAACAACCAGTGGGTTCCCTCGCAAACTCAGCTCTTCCAGGTGAACCAGGTTGAGGATCTCCCGGGGGAGGTATGTCAGTAGGTTGTTGTGAAGGCTAAGGGAACGTAGGGAATGCAACCTGAAAAATCAAGAGGAAGACAGTCAAGAGGAACAAGCATTACAAAGCACCACCCATTTACTACCTTTCTCACTAGCTTGTTTCCTTTGGCTTTTTTCCTTTAAGCACAAAGCTATGCTAACAGAGTTCCTGGTCTAGCACACAGACTAGCCTATGCAGAACTTGGCTCAGCTCCTCAATGCATATTAAAGAAATAAGCAGGGTCTTAAATGTGTCTGCCAACCCACCCTAAAAAACTAGTATAGAACTAAATAGTGCTACACAAAAATAACGCTTTTTAGAGGGATGTTTCCTTGTACCAAGGGTATGTATTCAAAAGCCTCCACACAATGCTCTGAATAGGTCACCTGTTCTCACTCATGTATTAAAGATGAGCAGACTAGCAGTTAGCCAACTCTGGCAAACTCCATGCTTTCATTGTCTGCACCTGCATCACCGCATGCTCAGATCCTGTCAGAGCTCAAGAACTAAGCAAGGTCAGACCAAGTGAGTGTGACTGGGAGACACATGTTGAATTTTTGTATCTAGAGCTCTCCCATCTGTCAGCACCAAACCAATATTCCTCATACTGCATAAGGACATCGTACTGCCGGAAGAGTCATCTTTCAAATGAAACAAAACTAAGGTTATGAACACTTGACATCAGAGATCCCATGTCAAGAGTAGTAATGCTAAACCCTGCTATCCTGATCAAATTCCAACTTGGAAACCCCCCCTGCTTTTATCACCTTAGTTTGGAGTTTCAATTGCACAGGGTATTCTTTATTTTTTGTCTTGAACTACTATGTAGATTTTTTTCTATTTTGTAGTAGATAAAACAATCTTACATTCAGAGGTGTGTTGTGAGCCCTAGTGAATGTTTAAAACATTCTGATATCCTTGAATGAGATGCTATAAAAGAGTATCATGCAAATAAGACCAGGAAAAGATTTTGGGTACAAGGCAAAGGAGGCTGAGCACAATATGATGAAAAACGTATAGCGTGGCATTTATTTTTGCTATTGGCATGTGAACTTCACATTTCCTGTGTCTGTGTTTAGATGCTATGGTGATGGCTCCTATAACAAATCCTAAAATGGACATTCACTTTCACAATATTTTGAATTTACAAGTCCTCCTTGCATTGTCTGGTGCTGAGACTCTCCCCCCTGCAGACCTAACCTGTGATTAAGAACTAAAGACCAACCAGATCTTCCCAGGTACTGTCATCCACACTTGCAGAATAAAGAGGTTTGAGCATTGGGTGGCTGAAGACAGCAAATTAGTTGGATATACTCACTGTGCCAGCTGAGGAGGAATACTCTGGATCTTGTTGTCAGACAGCACTAGGTAACTTAGAGAAGGCAGGTTTGCTAACTCAGGTGGGATAGAAGTAATGAAATTCCCTCCAAGGTACAAAAACTCTAAACTGAAAGAGAAGAAGACTGCATTACTTCGTTAATCTTATTTCTGCAGTTTCACTTAGTGCTGGGTCTCATTTAGTTTATGAGAGATTTACAGCTTGCACTGCAGGTAAAACAATTTTCGTAAGACATACCATATGAAGAGAAAGTTGACATATTATCAACGACCATAATAAAATGATAGTGGAGCAGCTCTGCTATAGTTAATGTTGAGTGTCACTTTCAGCTTAGTAGTTGACTCTCTAAGTGCACCAAAATCCACATCGCAGCTTAGATGGTGTTGAAATCTGCTGTGTGGAATAGGATTAGCATCCAAATTTGGGGTCATTTGACCGAGAGGTTCCTGAGCTACATCTCAAAAATAATCAGCTATTTACAAAATCACATGGATCTTCTAATTTTTTTCCATGTACACCTTGGGCTCAAATTATTGCTCTAACCCTCCCCACACTGATCTCAGCTACAGCATGGGATTCATCACCCTTTTAGAGATACACTACTGAAAGAGTTATTAAGAACATAAGAATGGCCATACTGGGTCAGACCAAAGATCCATCTAGCCCAGTATCCTGTCTTCCGACAATGGCCAATGCCAGGTGAGCCAGAGGGAATGAACAGAACAGGTAATCATCCAGTGATCCATCCCATCGTCCAGTCCCAGCTTCTGGCAAACAGAGGCTAGGGACACTATCCCTGCCCATCCTGGCTAATAGCCCATTGATGGACCTATCCTCCATCAACTTATCTAGTTCTTTTTTAACCCTGTTATAGTCTTGGCCTTCACAACATCCTCTGGCAAAGAGTTTCACAGGTTAACTGCACATTGTGTGAAGAACTATTTCCTTTTGTTTGTTTTAAACCTGCTGCCTATTAATTTCATTTGGTGACCCCTAGTTCTTGTTATGAGAACTAGAGGTCTTAAGGGTTTATTAAGAATAAAGTTTGTAACACCAGGTCAGCACAAGCTGAACTGATGAACCTAATGGAATGAAATGAGAATATGCAGCAAGAGTATGGCTCTGTTGAAAAGCCAGATGGTTTCCAGTCTGTTGTCCCAGTAACTGGATAGCTCAAGGTGATATGCTGTGGTCATTGAACCTGACCTGAGCTTAGATAAGTGTAACTATATTTATGTGTATGGTGCGATATTCGCGTATAGCTGTGTTAAGACTCTTCTTGGGGTGTCAGAGTATATGCTTTATTTTACCATGTCAGGGCTTTTGCATTTAGAAAGGGAATAAAGGGATGCTCAGCTGAGCTCAATAATGATGTATTTACTCAGAGAAATAAAGGACTACTTCTGACATAGCACTTTCATGGTTAGATCTAAAGTGCTTTAAAAAGGAAGTTAGTCTCATTATCCCCTTTTTGATGGGTTAACTAAAGCATAGATAGGTGACATGATTTGCCCAAGGTCATCCTAGAGGCCAGTGGCTGAGCCAGGAACAGAATTTAGAGCTCTCAAGTCCCTAGCCACTGTTCTATCCACTAGGCCACAATGCTTCCCACCTCAATGAACTAAGATTCCAAGGTACAAGTTTGTCCACATGTGTTAGAATATGACCTGGAGAAATAATGATAACGGATGCCACATAAAACATTCAGTGGAGACAGACCGATTTATGTTAAACACAACAGTTCCTTTCTCTGCTGAGTACTAACTCATGTTTAGCATCCTGTTAGTTACTATGATACCTCAGGACCATGCTCTAACATTTAGTTTCCCAGCCTAGAAGCGCTCCAACATTTGGATCTATCCTTTCTTTACAACTAATGATGCCTGTCCCCACTGCCCAAAGATGCTGGCTAGCATAAAACTTAACAGCTGGAAGTAGAGAGATCCGCCCAGAACTCTAAATTCAGATATGAGATCAAAATTTCCCTAAACAAACTTTAATAAGAAGTTTCCCCATCTGTTCTGCAAGTGGAGTGAGGAAGTAAGAGTTTAATCAAACAATACACTTATGCCCACCACGTTCTAGGATTTGCCATTTCTACAGAGAACAACACAGCTGCTGCTGAGACGCAACAAATTTAAGATCAGTCTCCTGAAACTATTGGTAAAATGTTTGAAGAAAGGAATTCTAGTGGGTTGCCTCTAACATCATATCTTTACCACAGCTCCAGTTACAAGTCTATCCACACACACAGCACCTGGCTTTTTTTTTTTTAAGTGTACATTTGGTATTAAATATGTAAGAGAGCACATACTTTGGCGCTCATTGCATCAAAGGGTATGCACACAGCTCTCTAACATCACAGAAGACTCTATAGCAGAGCTAAATGAATAATTGATTTTTCAGTTTGGCATCCAAACTGAAAAATCCAGACAAATTTCACTGTTCTTTTCCTCACAGGTCATTTTAAAATGTGTCAGCTGTTTCTGATATGTATTGCCCAATTTTGCTGTTTAACTTCTTTCCACAAACCATTATATGGGAGTAAAATAAAAGAAACATGCTCTCTTGCTGCTAGTGATTCATGGTTCTTTATATTGCTAATTTGATGCGCCCTGGAGGAGCAATTATTTGCAAACCTGCATGTGTAATATAACTTAGCAGTGCCTCTATTCTAGTGGAGGCAGAGATAATATTTGGGGCTTGTATACACGTGAAAATTCACCTGGAACAAGGTAGGATAAGAATTTAGAGTGCATTAAATATTTCTGAAAAATAACATACGTGGATGCTCTTATTCCACAATAAAAGTGTCTTATTCCAAATTAGCTTAAACCACTTTGGAATGGTTTAAGCTAATTCAAAATAAGGCAATTTTATTCTGGAATAAGAGTACCCACATACGCAGTTACTCCAAAATAGCTATTCCTGACTAACTGCCTTTGTATAGTAACCCTTAGTGTGAGGCGGTGCTACTGTGGTTCTGATATATACACCTGCAGTCGGAGTAAGATTCTTCACAGATGGGTTTCAAAAGAATGGGGCTCAATCTTTGTAATGCTACTCAGACTTGCCTCAAAGTCATTACATAAAAGGATCTCAGTGGAAACTGTTAACAGCTTAAGTAAGCATAGCAGTTAGCATCTTGATTTTTGCTGTTGGGAATTTGAGTATTCTATACTTGCAGTTGCAGGAGTCTTTGGGTAGTTTAATTCCTCTTCAGTGGAGTTACTCCAGATCTACATCAGTGCAAATGAAAGGGGAATCATCATGTTTCAAACCAATTGGATATCAAGAACACTTAAATTAAACTGGTTCTCATCCACTTTCTTAACTTCACTCTTTTCATGTAGCAGTTATTGTTGTCTTTCATACTCCTGATTAACACCCAACTGTTGAAAGCAGTGAGAGTGCACGAAAGGCTCGAATGTTGCTGGGTCCTACAGAGCAGGCTGCTGAGTAGAGCTGGGTGAATTTTTTTCCAGCAAATAGTAACACATCACCAAAATTATTCACCAATTCACATCAAGTGGTTTCAGCTGAAAAAAACTTTTTTTTTAAATGCTGAAATATTTTGTTTTGACATTGTGTTTAGAAATGAAATGTCACTTTGTTTGACCCAAAGAGAGTTTTTGTTTTGCTTCTCATTTTAGCAAGGAAAAAAACAAAATAATTCAGTGTTTGATTTGAAATGAAACAAAAAAGTTCGTCTGCTTATTTCTCTCTCAGCACTACTGATGTCAAGTCTTGCTTTTGTTGTTTTTGACAGAGGACTTAAAGTGGATTGGGAACATTTTCATAACAACTGAACAAGTCACGGTGCAGAAACTTAAAACTTTGCGCAGGCTGCCCACACAGTACATTAGTGTACATAAGTGCACATCCCTCAGCCCACACCGCTTCCCGCAGCCATTGGCCTGGAGCAGCGAACCGCAGCCATAGGGAGCCACAATTGGCCGAACCTGCAGATGCGGCAGGTAAACAAACTGGCCCAGCCCACCAGGGTGCTTACCCTGGCGAGCTGCGTGCCAAAGGTTGCAGATCCCTGTACTAATCCATACCTGTGTGTCACACACTAACTGGCCAGTATGGACCTTGCTGGCATGCACTAGACGTTTACTTTCTTGGTATCTGTGTTATGCCCTTATTAGTTCTTCAAAGACTCTCTGAGAACATACTTTATTTCTAATGTAAACAGTCAGAAATGCTTTTGGGGGGGGGGTGCATACTATCATTCAGGTTCTCTTTAGACACTGAAGTAGCAAGAGAGGGCACATGCCTGATTACTTTTAACTTTACAGATAGCTTGGGAAGCTGAGGGTATATTTATTCGGCTTGTTCTACACTAGAGAAAGTAACCTTCTGCTGTATTGTGACCAATAGGCAGTTTTTCTAAGGCAAAAAACCACTCAGGTATTTGTTGATAGTGAAACTCTACAGCTACAGAACAGTATTTTCACTTATTGGCACACGGACCAGCACTGGCATTTCGAACTGGAGCCTGATATTCTAGGCTTCTAGTGAGCTTCTGTGCTGGGCCCCACTGTATCACCACTAACAAAGCATAAGCTACTCTTGACTGTTAAACTAAAATCTGCAGCAACCCAAGCTCCATTGCGCAGTGTAGGCACAACTGAGATTGTAGTCTGAAACGAGCACAGGAGCTTGAATAGGTTGGGAACAGGCACCTAGTCACCTCAATGGCCAAATTATACAGCAGTTCACCAAATGAAAATTAGGGGTGAGTATACAGAGGACTAGAGACATGGGGGAGAATTTAGGCCTTGTCAATGTAAGAAAGTTGTACCCATTTAACCTAAGGGCACGTCTTCACTAGCAACATTAAAGTGCTGCCGCGGCAGCGCTTTAACATGCCTGTGTAGTCACGGCCCTCCCAGAGCTATAAAAAACCCCACCTCCACGAGGGCAATGGCTCCCAGCGCTGGTACACCGTCTACACTGGCACTTCATAGTGCCGAAACAGCACTTGGGGGGGGTGTGTGTGTGTGTTTTTTCACACTCCTGAGCGAGAAATTTGCAGCGCTGTAAAGTGCCAGTGTAGTCAAGCCCTAAGTTAGTACAGAAATCAGTTTAATTAAATCAGTGCAACTCCCTTGTGTGGTTGTTTGGTTTAAGAGTGCCTTAAAGAATTTATTTATACAAAATCAGTATAAGGCATTCTTAAAACCAAAATACCACACAAGGGAGTTGCACTGATTTAACTAAATCAGTTTCTGTACCAATTTAGACAGACAAGACCTACAGGCGATTTGACACTTCTCTCCCCACTCTCCCACACATACACTCTTCTCAGACATCTGGGTTCTTGTTTTTGCATAGGAGGTCATTGCTCAGGTGTACATAGGTTCAAACTCTGAAGCACATTGAAGACTTCAGTAAGAGGACACAGGGTTTCCACATGATTCACCATACTTACATCACATCTTCCTGAACCTTGCCCAGGGACATCAGCAGCCTACCCAGCATAAGGTAAACAGCTCAAGTTTCTGACAGAAGATCTAGATCCCTCTGAGTAGCTTAGCCAAGAGCAGAGCTCAGAAATTCTTTCCCTTATACCAAGCTATGCTTAAGGTCTGCTTCTCTTCTTTGGAGGTTAGTGGATGTTGCAAAAAATAAACACTCACTTCCCTGATGCGGATGGATCACTTGAGGATTGCCTGTTCATTTCCTCTGAAGCACCTGGCATTGGCCACTGTCGGAAGACAGGATACTGGGCTAGAGGGACCATTGACCTGACCCAGTACGGCCGTTCTTATGTTCTTTGGCTGCACATATGAAACTATTATTATAGCCTAAAGTCAGACAAGATGGGAGGAAAGGAGAAGAAAAAAAATATGCTACTTAAAGTTCTATATTAAAGTGAAAATGTGGTATGTTAGTGAGGGAGACATTGCATGTCAGATGGATATTTCCACACCATTCTCCAACTCTATTTTCAATGGGATAACCTCTTTTCCCCCAAATAAACTTAATCATTACACAATCACTCACTATTTTCTCAGTCCAAGAAACAGCACTAGACTGGCTAAATCATCAGAGGTTGGATTAAAACTGGAAAAATGACCTGAAGTATTAAGTGGAAACCCATAACGTTTAACATCCAAGACTGGACAACTGTACCATGTAACCTGATACAGCACCAAAAAACACACAAGTGATTTTGTCTACCTAGTTAGAATACGCTATAGAAGCAAAAGAAGTGCATTTTTAAATTGAGTTAGCTACCTCAAGCTGTCTCTCAGGCTACACTACGGGGGGGGGGGGGCAGGGGGAGGGAGTGTGCCGACCTAAGATACACAACTTCAGCTACGTGAATAGCGTAGCTGAAAATGCGTATTTTAGGTCGACTTACCTGGCTGCGAGGACGGCGGTGAGTCGACCGCTGCCGCGCCGCTGTAGACTCCGCTTCCGCCTCTTGCCGTGGTGGATTTCCGGAGTCAACGGCAGAGCGATCAGGGATCGATTTTATTGCGTCTTCACTAGACGCGATAAGTCGATCCCCAATAGATTGATTGCTACCTGCCGATCCGGCGGGTAGTGAAGACGTGCCCCTAGATTCAGCATTTACCAGATAACAGGGGTGTAGGAATGTTAAATTGTCTGATGCAATTAGATTACGTTACCAGTGTTTCAAATGGGGTGGGGCAATCATTTAAAACCACATCTTTTCCCTTAGCCTAGACATACTCTCAGGACACAGCTTCACTGGAAAAAAATAGATGTGTTCTTAAATTACCTAACAGGAGGTAAAATCCAAGTGAAGCCAGTAAGGCTGTTTGTCGCTATCACAGAAGGTAGAGACTCTGGGGCACATAGGGGTTTACCCTGACCCTGCTAACTCATATGAAAACCACAAACGGCCTTGCCTTCACGACAGGATTCAGAGCGGTAACCATGTTAGTCTGTATCAACAAAAACAAGGAGGAGTCCTTATGGCACCTTACAGACTAACAAATTTATTTGGGCATACATAAATACAGTAGGCAGGTATATAAATATACAGCACACGAAAAGATGGGAGTTGCCTTAGCAAGTATGTGAGTGTGTATGTGTGTGTGTGTGGGGGGGTGTCAGTGCTAACGAGGCCAATTCAATCAAGGTGGACGTGGCCTCTTCCCAACAGTTGACAGGCCCAATGGCACACCTTGGCCAGGCTGACGTGTTAAAGGCAACCCATGCTGCCAACAGGGGAGTTTGAAAAAGGCGCTAAGGCCGGGCAGCTCACGCTTTTTAGGGGCACCTTCTGCCCTAGCCTCATCACGTCCTCAGGGGCAGCAGCTCGCAGTGGCAGCGTGGCACAGGGACCGGCGCAGGAAGGGAACCAGCGCACCTGGGTTCTCCTCCCTGTGCTTGAGATTCCCCAGCCGAAACGGGGCCGAGGATCCTCGCTGCCCCTCGGGGGGCTGCCTGGCACAGCCAAAGCGGCCCAGGCCTCTCAGGGGGTCCCGCCTCGCTGGCAGCGCCTCCAGCCCCCGTGGCCCGGCTCTCACCTGTTGAGGGCCTGGATCTCGGGCGGGATGCTGTGTAGCCGGTTGCCGCCCAGGCTGAGGCTCTGCAGCCCCCGCAGGCCCAGCAGCGCGGCGGGCAGCTCGGCGAAGCGGTTGCCGCTGAGGTTGAGGACGCGCAGGGAGCGGGCGAGCGGGGCCTGCCCCAGCCCCTTGGGCAGCGCGCCGGGCCCGCCCAGCCGGTTGTTCTTGGCCAGCAGGGTGCGGAGCCGCGGCAGCTCCAGCAGCTCGGCCCCCAGCGCCGCCAGCCCGGTGCCGCTCACGTCCAGCACCTCCAGCGCCGGGAACCAGCGCGCCAGCCCCGGCGGCAGCGGGCCCGACAGCCGCCGTGACAGCACCAGCCGCCGCGTCTCGCCGCTGCGCCGCGCCTCCAGCTCGGCCGCCACCGCGCCCGCCTCACCCGTCCCGCGCCGCGGCA